GTTTGGGTTATAATTTGCAAAAATCATCAAAACACTTAACTGACAAAACATTTTTTATTTGTACTTTCTAAATTTACTAGAAAAATTAAACCACATAAAGGATAAGCATTTATTTTTCAGGTACCCAAATTCACTATATTGTCTATTACAAAACAGTTCTTTTAAACAAGTATCGGTAGGTATCCGTTAAAGTACAATGTTTGGATGCGCGGTACAGAATCGGATATGAAGACTAACCCTACAAAAACAAAGACTAACCCAAACACCAAAGGAAAAATGTGTACATTTTTCTTCCCTTTCTCATCATTGATTTATTAGTTCAGTTTGCCACCTCTATTTTTTTTTTTTTTCATTCCATGTTTCTACTGCAACTTTAAGACACTTCAAACTCACATCCAAGTTCCAGGTAACATCTCCAATCTCTAAAAAAGTTTACGTTCACAGAGATAACTTGATTGAATATCACAGTGGCTTCCCGTCACTGTACACCAATGCAAAGGTTAAAAATCCTAACATCTTTAATGGAATAAGCAAACGTACTACCTATTGGGATCACACGTAGGCTATATAGGAGCCCTCCTGTCCTTGCTTTGTGACCCAGAGTAAGCTACTAAATTAAACCTCAATGCATCTCAACTTTTCTCATCTGTTAGAAATAAAACGGGATGAGGACAGCGTTTGCACTCCACGGGTGGGAGTGAGACTACACACACACGTTAGTGCGTGCAGACCGCTCGGGGCCGCGCCGGACTCGGGACAAGCGCTCAGGGATACGTGTTGGTTGCTGTTATCGCGATCCCGTGCTCCGGGTCGTTACTACCGAATTAAGGGGGGAACCTCTGAATTTAGGCCACAACGTCCGTGAGGGGCTTAATCATCCGCCACATCGCGTTACAGCTGGGGAACTGTTTTGAGGAGAAAAGATAACGAGGCTGCGTCCACTTCCAAACCCTCGAGGCGCCACAAATCGACGCGGTGAGGCGGGGGCCGCGGCCTCCCCGGAGTCCAGGACCGGCCCGGCGTCCCGAGGCCCGCCCCAGCCCCGCCGCACAGCTCCGTCTCCGCGGCCCGCCGCAGCCCCCCGGGCCTCCCGGCCGGCCCTCGCCCCCCGGCTCCGGACGCGAGCCGCGGGGCCCCGAGCCTCCAGCCCCCGCAGCCCGGCCGGCCCGCCATTCAAGCCGCGCGCGCGCGCGCCCGGCCCTCACCAGGTCGATGTTGGAGAAGCCGGTGAGCACGAGGTTCTTGAGGAGCTCGCAGCCGATCCCGCCCGCGCCCACCACCAGCACCCGGCCCCCGGCCACGGCCTCGGCCAGCTCCTGCGGCAGTCCCCGCGACAGAGCCATGGCGGGACGACCACGAGCTGCGGCCGAGGCGGAGGCGGGAGAACCGAGCCGCGGCCGGAAGCGGGTGGGGGAAGGGCGGCCGCGCTTCCGCTCTTGCGCAGTACGGCCGCCCGGCGGCGACAGGCGGGCGGTCCTTGGCAACCCGGCGGGGTCTGGCGGCCCCGCGCCTGGCCCGGCTCCTTGCGAAGGCCCCGCAGACTTCCGGCCGGGGCTGGTGGTGTCTTTCACGCGGGAGCTCAGACCTTGCTATCCGGCCGGAGAAGCCTGAGGGTCGCCTTTTGGCCTAGGGGTTTGAGCTTCCAGCCCCAAGACTTCCTACAGGTCTGGAAACTTACGTCCGTCCGTGTATGCAAAGAATTACTTACAAATTAACAAGTGCCACCCAAACAAAAAATATAGGCGAAGGATGTGAACAGGCACCCACAAAGAGAATGGACAGTATGATCAATAACCATATTAAAATGCAAAACACGCAAAAAATAGTATTAAGATTATTTTCACCTATTAAACTGGCGAAAAGAAGAAATTATAATACTCCATACCCTTGATAATAATCAAGGGATTCGGAAAAAGCACTTCCATAAACTCCAGATAAGGATTCTAAAGCAAAGATTCTCCAGAAAGCCATTTGGCAATATGACTCAAAAAACCTAAAATTATGCATAGCTTTTGACTTATTCAACCCAATTTTAGGAATTTGTTCTGAGGCAGTTACCACTGTTTTGAAAAAAAAAAAAAATGTAGCCATTGGCATGGTCATGAGAACAAAAGTTGGAGGAAAAAAATGCTAAAAATTATATAAAGCTTTTGATGTATATTTTAAAAAATACTTTGCGGCAATTACAGATTATATTGTGGGAAAAACATTTACTGATGGGAGAAATGCTCACAATACAATGTTAAATAAAGAAGATACAAAAGCATGTATACAATATGATTACATTTTGTAAAAGAAAAACCCCAAAATATATTAAAAGACAGGAATAGCAACAGTTAATACTTTTGTGCATCTGTGTGCCGTGAAATTGTAATTTTTATTAGTTCTTTAGACTTTTGTTTCTCAGATGCTCATGTTCTTCAAACATTAATTTTAAAAATCAGGAAAAAATTTTTAGCAGAAAGTGGGAAAAGATTGAAAACGGAAAAACGCTGGTTCACTTCTGTGGTCTTTCTCATCAGCTGCTTGGTTCACCATCAGGCAAGTCTGTGATGAATACTCAGGCCGCTGTCTTGATGCATGAAGGACCAGGGCACCCAACCATGGTTGGGGGTACCCTTATAAAGTGGGCTGCTGAGAGTCCTTCCTCTACACCAGCTCAGCTCTCACAAAGGCCTCACCTTGCTGCTGAACTTAACAAATGTCCTCCTACAGATACTGCCCTTCCTCCTCTCTGCACTCTGTGAATGGGAGCTGCCTTCCTGCCTCTCTTCCTCTGGGCCTGGGCTGGGCTGGGCTGGGCTGGGCTGGGCTTGCTGCCTAACTCTGAGAGCCTTTTTCTTTGAGGGTGTGCCGTGTGTATGTATGAAGTATAAAATGCATGCCCACCTTAACAAATTCTAATAGAACATAAGTGCAGGAAGTAAGAGCTGAAAGTTCACCTTCATGGCAACCAAATCTTACTCCTTAGGACCTTTGCTGGGTGATTATCTTTGTAGAACTAGGTCTTTTAATAGCAATATAGAGTTTTACTTTTAAATGGGTTTATACTGGAGTTGGTTTCCTATATCTTGTTTTCTTCACAATATCACAGATGTGTTTCTACTGGATCACGGGACTGACCCTGCTAATCTGTATTCTATTTACATAGATAAAACCTAATACAAATGTGTGTAACTAGATTCAAGAATATGTCTTGGCCAGGCAGGGTGGCTCACTCCTGTAATCTTAGCACTCCGGGAGGCCGAGGTGGGAGTATCGCTCCAGGTCAGGAGCTCGAAACCAGTCTGAGCAAGAGCGAGACCCTGTCTCTATTAAAAATAGAAAGAAATTAGCCGGACAACTAAAAATATATAGAAAAAATTAGCCAGCCATGGTGGCGCATGCCTGTAGTCCCAGCTACTCGGGAGGCTGAGGCAGGATTGCTTGAGCCCAGGAGTATGAGGTTGCTGTGAGCCAGGCTGACACCACAGCACTCTAGCCCAGGCAAAAGAGTGAGACTCTGTCTCAAAAAAAAAACAACTATGTTTGATCAGAAGTACAAGCAGTCTGTCTCCATCTAATAAGGCAGAAACATAACACCTAGCTCAGATATCTGAAAATGTCTGTATCAACTTCTGATCCACAAAAATATACTCTTATGCAACAACTCTTCTCTACCCTTTCATTAAAGGAGGGTACTCCCTGGCCATTTAAATATGCTTAAGTGCTGTAGTTGTCAGACCGAGCAGTCTGTTTTCTGTTCCAGTTGGAGTAAGTGGTCTGGCAGCCTGAGGCGTTCTCTGCCCACAGCAGAGTGTGCCACAGGGAAACTGGTGGTGGCTTCTCCAGCATGCAGAGAGAGGAATCAGAAGCTCTCTGCAGGGCTATGCTCAGCTTCGGCCCTGTAGGCCCAGCAGTCCTGAAGCTTCACTGACTAGCACCTTCAGTTTGTGCACATACAGTGTCCCAGGGGTGGGATCAGGTGGGGCTCTCCCCAGTCACACACTGCTCAGGAGAACCGCACCCCAGGATAACGTAGGCCTCATTATCCTCATCTACACAGGCAGCGCATGTCTCAACACGACTGGGAGTGTTTTCATACTGTTTTTAAGGGGCAGAAGAAGGGAAGTGGTTGATAACATAAACAGTGAGAGAAGAAAGGGGAGCCTGGAAAGATGGTAGCTGGGTACAGGAACAGTGTCCAGAACAGTGTCACAGAACCCCTTTCTGTGATGATGCTACAAGAGCAGAAGGCGGGAGTGGGTGAGGGTAGGAGCCTGGGCTGGGGAACATGGGCAAGTCTCATGGCCAGTGTCACAGAGCCAGAGCCTCGGGCACCTAGAGCAGGTCGAGTGGTTTCATCTGGCACCATCCAGGGACAGTAACAGGGTGGAGTAGAATGCAGAGGCCAGAGGAGTACCAAGAGGCTGGATTCTGCTCTTGGCTCTGCTGCAGCTCTCCCCTCCTCCTAGAATGCCCACCGGGATGCCTGTGCAGGGAACGCTGGCCCTCTGGGCTTGACAGGAGCCACTTTCTGAGCTGCCACTGTAGAGACAGGCCACTGACCCTCGAAAGATAGATCAGCCCACAGTCAGAAGGTCCTGGCTAAAGCCCCAGGACAGGTGCCAAAAAGCAAAAAGGGAAACACGTAAAACAAGTTGGCTGGGCGTGGTGGCTCATGCCTGTAATCCTAGCATTTTGGGAGGCTGAGGTGGGAGGCTGACTTGAGGTCAGGAGTTGGAGACCAGCCTGAGCAAGTGCAAGACCCTGCCTACCAAAAATAGAAAAAATTAGCCGGGTGTGGTGGCTTGCGCCCGTAGTCCCAGCTACTCAGGAGGCTGAGGCAGGAGGATTGCTTGGACCCCAATTCGAGGTTGCAGCGAGCTATGATAAGCCACTGCACTCCAACCTGGGTGACAAGAGAGAGACCCTGTCTCAAAAAAACCAAAAACAAACAAATAACTAAACAAACAAAAAAACCCCAGAAGTTAACAACTGTGAGTTAAAATAAACACATATTTAGACATTAAAATTTATTTTAATTTATAAAAATAAAACGAAATGCTCTACTTAAATAATAATTCATCTGGGTCTTCTTGTATAATACAATATTCTTCCATGGGAATCTGATGATTTTGAGGCCAGCAGCTCTTCTCACATGTATAAACGAGAATTGTTCCAAATTCCACAGAAAGACCTGAAAAATATGACATATCCAGGATTCCAGAAGAGAGAAAGTTATGAGATACACTCAAAATGTACCCACTTAGTGGACAAAGCAGACTCTGGGGCAAGACTCGCCAGGGTTGAAACGCCAGCTCTACCACCTTGGGCAAGTTATTTCACCTCTCTGTGATAAAGGTAGTATTTATCACGATGGTAAGATTGTGAGAGAAATTAAATAAGCTAATACATATAAAACACTCAGAATGGAGCCTGGCACATTTTAAGTGTTCAATGTGAAACAAAGAGGTTGCATAATTAGAAGCTACTAGAAGTGAAGGAGAAAGGCTCAACGATAACTAGTGTTGCTAAAGGGAGTGATTTTACCTTAGAAGCTGAAAAAAGTAGGTAAAGCAAAAACAGGGCTTACTGCTTTCAGCTGCAATCCATCACAGTCTACCTTATAATAACTGAACACCATTGAAGAAAAGCAGATTTATTCAAAAGGAGGAGGAAAATATACTTAAAAAATTAAACAAAAATTTCAACAAATCTTCATTACAACCGTCTAGAGAAAAATCCATATTAAAATATATCACATAAGAGAGCATGCTACTGCCAAGAAAGGATTCAGGCAAAAAATATAAAATAAATCCTAAGAGTTTACAGAAATTTGTCATTGAATAGAGCCACTAAAAATGACACCAAGAAAACACCAGCAACAAGAACTCCTGTTGGCCGGGCGCGGTGGCTCACACCTGTAATCCTAGCACTCCGGGAGGCCGAGGCGGGCGGATCGCTCGAGGTCAGGAGTTAGAAACCAGCCTGAGCAAGAGCGAGACCCCGTCTCTACTATAAATAGAAAGAAATTAATGGGCCAACTAATATATATAGAAAAAAATTAGCCAGCATGGTGGCGCATGCCTGTAGTCCCAGCTACTTGGGAGGCTGAGGCAGAAGGATTGCTTGAGCCCAGGAGTTTGAGGTTGCTGTGAGGTAGGCTGATGCCACGGCACTCACTCTAGCCTGGGCAATAAACTGAGACTCTGTCTCAAAATAAATAAATACATTAATTAATTAATTACTTTTGGTTATAAATAATGTGATAAAATTATTAAGGATGGAAAAGAACTTGGCCTTAAATCAACCAAAATGATATCAGTGCTTGTGATAAGATAGGATGAAATAGAAGTTTACTAAATAATTTTAATTTCCCAAATTTTCTATAATTTGTTTTTGATATTTTATAAGTAAACAAAAATAAAAACATAGTCTTTCATTTTAAAAAAATTCTTAAGTAATGCCAGAAATTCACAGACTTAAATTAATAAAGGGCTTCTTACCTAAATTAGCACTTTTGAGCATGCTGACCAATGCTGGCATAAGCTGAAACTCAAATGTCCTCTGGCCTCCACAGTGGCTGCAGGCTGGGAGCTCAGTGACTTCAGATGTAGGGCAGGTCAGAAAGAGTGGCTCTCCACTCCAGGAATACCTAGGACAAAGAACGCAGAAGTCACATTCCAACATCTAAGGCCAGACTTTGCAACCTTCCTTCCTGTCTTGCAGAGCACCAGGAGCAAGACAAGAAAGCAAAGAAATCTCTCAGAGGCCAAGAAAACTAGCAGCATGGCTATAAAGCATAGCAAGATATCTGAAAGTCTTGTCACTGCTTGATTCAAAGCACGATAGCCAACGTCAAAGTGAATCTATCTAAAGCTGCAACAAAGCCCAGACCCAGCTGAAATGCAGATTAAATGGACTCAGACCTCCACGCTGCTGTCCTTACAGAGGAAGGGGCATGCCCTTATAAGGAGTAAATACTCCTTATCAGTATCTACTATTCTTCAACATACAATTTCTGATAAATAATTTAAAATACTGGAAATGCAAAGAATCAGGAAAATTTAACCCATAAAGAAAGTTAATACAAGGAGACCCATGGGCAAGATGATGGGTTTATCAGACAAAAACATTAAAATACCAATAATATTTGATTAAATGGAAGTTTAAAAGAAAAAAAAAAATATATATATATACCAGTAATAAAGATGTAAAAAAAAAATCTAGGCCAGGCGCAATGGCTCACGCCTGTAATCCTAGCACTCTGGGAGACTAAGGAAGGTGGATCATTTGAGCTCAGGAGTTTGAGACCAGCCTGAGCAAGAGCGAGATCCTGTCTTTACTAGAAATAGAAAGAAATTAGCTGGACAATTAAAATATATACAGAAAAAACTAGCCGGGCATGGTGGCGAGTGCCTATAGTCCCAGCTACTCAGGAGGCTGAGGCAGGAAGATCACTTGAGCTCAAGAGTTGGAGGTTGCTGTGAGCTAGGCAAACGCCACAGCACTCTAGCCCAGGTAACAGAGCGAGACGCTATCTTAAAAAAAAAAAAATCTAGTGGAAAAGGTGAACAGGCATACACAGATGAGAAATTTAGCACACAAATATAAACTAAAAAAGACTGAAACAAATGCTGGAAATAAAACAGTGCTGTACCCGAAATAAAGAACTTCATTCAAAAGTTGACAGTGAACTGAAAATAACAATTTAAAAAATCTGTGAATGTGAGGAAAAGTAAACAAATCTCTCAAAGTAATGAAAAAGATACAGTACTCTCAGATATAGTGTGGAGTTCAAAAAAAGCAGGACACCTAGAAAATGTGTCTAGAATACTTCCTTCTGTGTAAAAAAAAAAAAAAAAAGGAGGGGGTAAGCCAGCCACGATGGCATGTGCCTGTAGTCCAGCTACTCCGGAGGCTGAGGCCAGAGGATCATTTGAGGCCAAGAGCTTGAGGTCACAGTGTGCTATGATCATGTCTGTAAATAGCCACTGCATTCCAGTCTGGGCAACACAGGCAGACATCTCAAAATAAAAAAAGCGTGGGGGTGTGGCAGTAGGTAGTAATATACGAGTTGTCATATTTGCTTGCATATGCACAAAGAGACCGTAGAAAGACACATAGGTAAACTAGTAACAGTCGTTACCTGAGTAGCCTGGGGATGGCTGGAAAGGAATGACTTCATTGTATTTACACATATATGCATATGCATTATTTTTATACTTTTGAGCCTTACGAATGTATTACCTTTTGAAAATTTAAACTTCAAAATATTTTTGTTCTTAAGAATTTTTTAACAATATAAGACAATCTTCAAAACCAATAAATGTCTACTGAAAGAAAGAAAACATCCATTTTATGATTCCAATTATTTTTTTAAAAATAATACCTAATACCTTCTGATTCAAGCATCAGAGACAAATCTTTTAAAAAATACACAACACATGCTGGGCACGGTGGCTCAGGCCTGTAATCCTAGCACTCCGGGAAGCCTAGGTGGGAGGATCGGATCAAGGTCAGGAGTTCGAAACCAGTATGAGCAACAGCAAGACCCCATCTCTACTAAAAATAGAAAAAAATTAATTGGCCAACTAAAAATATATAGAAAAACTTAGCCGGGCATGGTGGCGCATGCCTGTAGTCCCAGCTACTTGGGAGGCTGAGGCAGCAGGATCGCTTGAGCCCAGGAGTTTGAGGTTGCTGTGAGCTAGGCTGACGCCACGGCACTCAGTCTAGCCTGGGCAACAAAGCGAGACTCTGTCTCAAAAAAAAAAAAAAAAAAAAAGTCTGTCCTAAACGATATTCTGGAAAGTATCGTGAAATCCCAGCAAAACGTAATAGGCCAATGACAACCGCTTTACCTGAGCGTCCTGCGCCTCTTTCTCTCGCAGCTGCAGGCACTGGGAGCGGAACACCTTCCAGCTGAGAGGTGAAGACAGCCGGCCGTGAGGGGTCCACCCGTGACGCCCAGCCCCCGAGGCCCCGCCCCGGCCTCTCGGGAACAACCTCGGGACTTCCCCGCCTACCTGCGCGCCCCGCCGTCGCCACAGGTAGGGCAGGCGCAGGCGAACACGTGCAGCAGCCGATGAAACGGGGAGGCTTCCAGCGGGCAGTACACCTGCACGACCAGGGCGAGCGGCTGCCGGCAGCGTTCGCACAGCGGCCTGGGCGCCGCCACCGCGGGCAGAGCATCCTGAGGGCAGGGGAGGCGCTCAGACCCCGACCCTGCCCCCCAGCACTCCGCCCACCCCCTCACGCCACACCCTTCGCCGGCACCCGCCCGCCGCAGCTCCGGCGCCCACACTCACCGGAACGCCGCCCAGCTTGCTGGCGGTCCAGGCGTCCGGCCCCGTGGGGCTGCCGTGCACCGCAGCGTCTCGAAGCCCGAGCAGCACTGGCTTCCGGACGGCCGCCATGACAGGCCGGCGCCCGCGGGGAAACGCGAACTACGGCAGCCGAGCTGGTGTGCCGCTGTGCGCACGCGCGCCGCCTAAGCCTGTGCGACGCCCCGCCCCTCGCTGCTGGCAGTCCTTCCGGGGTTGCTGAAATTTGGCTTTAAGGCGCTTGGGCTGGGTCTTGAACTGCATAGGCGACTGCAGGTGTCAGGGGCTCAAAATCTGGAAGCCCCAGGCATTATGTGCTTTCTAATGCGGTGCAATAGGAAAAACACACCATCTACTATGAAGTAGTATTGCCACAAAGCTTTCCCTGAAAATAAACATTTTAGGTGGGACAATAGTATTATCCCTCATTAGCAAGAAGAAAAAAATAAGGAAGCTCTTAATTTTTAGAGATACACTCAAATACTTATAGATGAAATGATATCTGGGATTTGCTACAACATAATTGGGAGAAGGGATGTAGAGACAATAAGATTGGCCATGTGTTGATAATTGCTGAAATTTGGTGCAAGGTACATGAAGCTTTGTTATACTATTAAATTTTCATATGTATGAGATTTTTCCACAATAAAGATTTTTAAATGCCTGCAGCACAGTATGGGTGAAATTCTAATGGATTGTGCTAAGAAGCCAGACGCAAAAGGCTATGCTCTGGTAAAGCAAAAACTGGAGAAAGAAACCAGATCAGTGGTTGCCAGGGGTTGGGTTCAGATAGTAAGGGTAACCCACAAAAAGGTGTCACGGACTTTCTAGGGTGAAGAAAATGCTGTATATCTCAATTGTGATGGTTACACACCTGTATACATTTGTCACCACTAAAGACAGGTGAACTTTATTATTTGTAAATTATACCCCAGTAAAATCTGACTTTTTAGATATGCACATTGCAGCTGGTCTCAAGGTAGTGGGTTACCTCGATTGTTCACAATTACAGATCAAACTCTTTGTTTTACTCTTTCACCCCTTCTCACTACTGCATTTGACTAGTCTAACAAAAAGAGCATGTTGTGGCCGGGTGCGGTGGCTCACGCCTGTTATCCTAGCACTCGGGGAGGCCGAGGCAGGTGGATCACTCAAGGTCAGGAGTTCAAAACCAGCCTGAGCAAGAGCGAGACCCCCCCATCTCTACTATAAATAGAAAGAAATTAATTGGCCAACTAAAAATATATAGAAAAAATTAGCTGGGCGTGGTGGTGCATGCCTGTAGTCCCAGCTACTTGGGAGGCTGAGGCAGCAGGATCGCTTGAGCCCAGGAGTTTGAGGTTGCTGTGAGCTAGGCTGACGCCATGGCACTCTAGTCTGGGCAACAGAATGAGACTGTCTCAAAGAAAAAATACACAACACCTACATACATACATGTATCCAAAAAATAAAAAAGAAGTGATGGTAATATACTAAAGTCTTGGCAGTGATTCTCTCTTAGTTTTGGGAATATTGTAGATTTGTGTTTTCTCATTGCATCTTCCTGTGTTTTCCAAACTAATAGTATTGCTTTTATAAACAAGAAAAATAAAAGAAAATGTGCCTTCTGTACCTTAAAATCTGCTCCTGACAAGCAGCAATTCTCTTCATAAATTTGTAAAACATCTGATCTCCACTTTTAACTACAGTCTTCTCATATTTTTCATCTCCATCACTAGAAAGACTAAAGAGAGAAGCAGAAAATTATGCTATCTGGAAAAGGAAACAAGATAATTTTTTAAACATTATCAAAGAAATACATGTACACAATTTAAGCTCAAAAATATTTAATCACTCATCATGACTTTCTGTGGTTCCCTGCCCCACCCCTATTCCCATGCCATTTTCAACTCTTGGGTAATTATAATTTAAAAAGTCATTATGCCCACCAACTCCCTCTATTACAGATTATTTTCAAACACCAACACGTTTGTGTTTAACATTATTGTCTTTAACATTATTCTGGAAAAGCCTACAAGTGAAGTAGCTCTGGTAAGAAAACACAGCATCTATCTAAATACCTTGCTGTAATTCTATTAATAGCAGAAATGATCATTCTTACTTCTTTAGAGTGCTTCGGTTTATAAAGCCTTTCAAGATCTATTCTCTCACTTGACTCCCAAAATCATCTGATGAAGTAGACAACAGAGATACCACGATCACTCCCATTTTACAGGTGAGAACCGAGGATATGGAAGGGTCTCCAAGATCCTGGGCCAGTTCTGGAGCCACAGCCAAGACTCAATAAACAAATGGCATTTTTCTAACTCACCTGTCTCACCTATAAATACCTTTAAAAATATAAAAGACAGTTAAAGAGACAGTGAACATATCTTCTGTAAATGCATGGCATCTCTCACTTCTGTCTCTTCTTCCATATTCATTTTCCTAATGGCACTTAAAAACAGAGCAGTGTTTTCGAGCTAACTCAAGGTTGGCTGATGAGGAGATCCCCTTGTCTCTGGCTCGTTTTCCTAAGAGGAGTAAAGCAGGAAGGTCCTACACATGCAAGTTCTGACTGAAAAAGGTTCCCCGGATCCTGGGGCAAAACTGAAGGGTACCTGCCGTGGCTGCTTCCTGACCAAGACCCCTCTGAACCTCAGCAGCAAACATTCTCACCTTTGGGAAAGCAACTGTTCCGTGGCAATTCCTTCTCTCTGTTGATAGTCCCTCAGTAGGCTGTGGGCATGATCCAGACTGACAAAGTCCCTGTAATCATCCTCATCTGCAACGCAGATGTAGTAGGGCAGGAACTGGGGCACCACTGCGGACAAGGCCATCTGTTCCCCAGGAGGTACAGGATAAGCAGCATCCCGGACAGCATCTTGCAGGTGGAGGTCCTGGAGCTGAGCAGTCCAGTCTGTGTCTTTGGCGCTGTTAGAATCGTTTCCAAAGTCCAAGGTAAGCTGTGGTGAAGGCACCTCCTCAATGCCACTTCCCCAGTCATCTGCACCTTCACACCAGTCCTCAGCTGCAAAGCCACTTTCCTGTTTCTGGAAGAACATCCAGCGAATGGCGTTCAAGCACACGTGGGTGACTTCTCCTATTCCTTTGGCTTCGGCCACCCATCCCTTCACCCTCCTGAGGGGACCTTCGCTCCAGCCCCTCTCCCTCTGCCGCGCTCCAATTCAACTTTCTGGACCCCATCTACTGAAAGGCATATATCGGAGGTGACATAAATACTTCTTCACTTTTCAGGGAAGTGTGGCAGATGTAGTATGTGGTTTCTTCAACCATCCTTTCCAAAATCTTTCTGTTGTACTTGATCCCCTGCAGACACTTAGCAACTAGGGTTTCAGACATGATCAGAGGTCTGCTAATCAGGTCCACTAGAGAGGCACACAAACTTGAGACAGAGTGAAATGGGAAGAAAAGCCATGGAGCAAAAGGCAGCCAGCCTGTCAGCTCTGGACAAGGATGGCTTCTAGTTCCCCTGACCACACCTAAGCTCCCAGACTGCAGGATAGGCAGCATGGCAGCTCCCTGACGACCAGTTCTGAGCTGTGATTCTGGAGGCCATTCCTGGAGCTGCTTCCTCCAAACTATCTAATTAGTTAGTAAAAAACTAATTCCTTGTGTTAGGTGTGCCTCAGCTTAAAAGAACCAAAGTGTAGTACCTTTCTGTTATCTGCAGTTGAACCCTGCCAAGCAGAGGCAGCCACATCAGCGTCATCTTTTCATTCCCAGGATTACTAGTACTATGCCTGGCACACATCAAGAACTCAGTGTATACATAAAGAGGCATTTACAGGCAAAAGGAGGCTGAATTTTTTCTGCAGCCACCAACTTGCCTGACTTTTCAATTCAATAAATTCAGATTTAACATATTAAATATGTTTGTTATATACATATATAATATCACAGTAAGTGTATGTACTATAAACACATATATATCACACACATGTCTATGTACACACCCATATATTTTCCCAGACAGAAAAATCAGTAAACTACTGTGTCTTAAGACCTTCAAGGTAAATTAAAAAAAACTATATACAGAATGGAATACTCTTTAGCCTTAAAAAAGAAAGAAATTCTCTCATATGTGACAACATGGATGGAAATGAAGAAAATTATGCTAAGTAAATAAGCCAGGCACAGAACAACAAAATATAGTACTATGAGACAAAGTAGCAAACATAAGGAGCCATGTTTGCTTCCCCCCAACAATCAGCATACTTTCACAAAGTCCCTGACTCTGTGACAAGGTGCAGCTCTCTAGAAAGTTGCTTTGAAGACAAAACAGGATACAGCACGTGGACCCCCCACGTCTCTTATCTAGGTCACTATATTCCTTAGAAGATAAACGAGTCCTTGCCTTTTCTTGCACATAACTTCTGATGGGGTTAATAATTATGCTTCTGTAATTTATAACCAGATGTATTCTTACACCCAAACCTTGAAGGGATTCTGCTTTAATATAACTTGGGAGCAAGTCTGATAATGATTTTGCATGTACTGAACCCCCACCACCTGTATATAACAAGTGGCCTGAAACACTGCTTTGAAGCAGTCTGCCACAACTTCTCCTAGGCTGTAGGCCTCGGTCTACAGTCCTCAGTAAGAGTTCTGAATAAAACTAACTTTAATTCTTTACAAGCTGGATTTTTTTTTCTTTAGCCAACAGCATGTACTCACTGATATGTGTAATCTAAAACAATCCACCTCATAAAAGCAGAGAGTAGAATGTGGTTACAGAGGCTGGGGGTGGGGGAATGGGGAGATGATGGTCAAAGGGTACAAAATCTCAGGAACATGATGGATTTTTTTTAGTTCTATTGCAGAGTATGGTGAATATAGTTAAAAACAGAGTACTACACAATTCAAAATAGCTAAGAGTAAATTTCAAATGTTCTCACCACAAAAATAAGTATTTGAGGTGACTATGTTAACTAGCTTGATTTCATTATGCCATACTATATTCATAAATCATAAATGATTCATAAATCATGACATCATTTTGTACCTCGTGCATTTTATACATAATAAACTGTTAATTTACAGTAAATAAAAAAAAAACCCCAGGCTATTTAACATATCTCTCTGCAGCCACAGTATGGGTGAATTTAATCGATTGCTGCTAAGAAGCCAACGCAAAAGCTATGCTCTGGTAAAGCAAAAACTTTGGAGAAAGAAACCAGATCAGTGGTTGCCAGGGTTAGGTTCCAGAAGTAAGGGTAACCCCACAAAAAGGTCACGGACTTTCTAGGGGAAGAAAATGCTGTATATCTCAATTGTGATGGTTACACACCTGTATACATTTGTGCACCACTAAAAACAGGGAACTTTATTATTTGTAAATTATACCCCAGAAAATCTGACTTTTTAGATATGCACATTGCACTGTCTCCAAGAGTGGGGTTCTCGATTGCACAATTACAGATCAAACGTCTTTGTTTTACTCTTTCACCCCTTCTCACTACTGCATTTGACTAGTCTAACAAAAAGAGCATGTTGTGGCCGGCGTGCGGTGGCTCCGCCTGTTACCTAGCACTCGGGGAGGCCGAGGCAGGTGGATCACTCAAGGTCAGGGAGTTCAAAACCAGCCTCGAGCAAGACGAGACCCCCTCATCTCTACTATAAATAGAAAGAAATTAATTGGCCAACTAAAAATATATAGAAAAAATTAGCTGCGCGTGGTTGTGCATGCCTGTAGTCCCAGCTACTTGGAGCGCTGAGGCCAGGAGTATTGCTTTAGCCCAGGAGTTTGAGGTTGCTGTGAGCTAGGCTGATGCCACACCACTCTAGCCAGGGCAACAGAGTGAGACTCTGTCTCAAAAAAAAAAAAAGTTAAAAAAAAAGCATGTTGTAGGCCAGGTGCAGTGGCTCAGGCCTGTAATCCTAGCACTCTAGGAGGCCGAGATGGGTGGATCATTTGAGCTCAGCCTGAGCAAGAGCGAGACCCCGTCTCTACCAAAAATAGAAAGACATTAATCAACCAACTAAAAATACATAGAAAAAATTAGCTGGGCATGGTGGTGCATGCCTGTAGTCCCAGCTACTCGAGAGGCTGAGGCAGGAGGATCGCTTGAGCCCAGGAGCTGGAGGTTGCTGTGAGCTAGGCTGACACCACGGCACTCACTCTAGCCCGGGCAACAAAGTGAGACTCTCTCCTCAAAAAAAAAAAAAAAAATAG